TGGCGCTGCCCCGATGGGCCCCCAGCCTGCTGCGTCTAGAGCTGGTGGTGGCAGCTCCTGCAGCCTCCCACTGTCCCCAGTGGCTGTGGCAGCTGTCTGCACCTCCCAGGCTGGGAATTGGGTCCTGCTGGCTCTGCTGCTGCAAAGTGCTGGGCTGCAACTCTTTAACTGAGGGTAAAAATATGGAAACTCTGGCTGTGATGGTTCCCATCAGTAGCCTTGCAGCAGGGCAGGAGCTAGAGCTGGTGGTGGCCACGCTGCCTGACTCCTGCAAGGACTTCTTCCAAAAGCCTTGGACTCTGTTCAAGCAGAGCCCCACACCAAACTGGTCTGGGAAGCTGCAGGCTAATGCCAGTGCTTGCCTTGTCTCCTGCCAGGTGGAATACCAGTGCGATGGCTTTGTGGAGAAGAACAGGGATGCTGTCCCTGAGGAGCTGGTGGGGCTGCTGAGAGCCAGCAAGGTGAGAGCCACCCTGAGCAGGGGCTGTGTAAGGCAGAGCCTGGCCGGCTTGTGGCCCTGGGAGCCTGGGGCTGGGGAGGACTGACAGTGTAAGCTGTAAATCCCTGCCAGCCTGCTGGCACAGCCCTGAGATGTGGGTGTTCTCCACCTCGTTCCCCTGCCTTGGCCTTCCCCATCTTGGGGGACACCTTGGCCATGCCCTGCTGAGAGGGCTGGAGGGTCCTGCTGCTTCCAGGTCTGTAACGCTGTTTCTTCTCTCTTCCACCCTGCATGGCCCTGGCAGAAGGTAAGGGACATCTTGAAGGGCTCTTGAGCACCCCTGGGCAGGTGCCTGTGGCTTGCACCTAGCTTTTCCTGGGGGAAGCAGCAGGCAGGGACACAGCTGGATCTGGCAGATCTGGGCTGTAGCAGGGCAGAGGACCATGCACTGGGCTGGCCTCTGTGGAGCCTGTGGTCTCTTGGGGCTGTGTCTCCTGGTGGTGGTGGCTCTCTGGGTATTGGGTGATGCCCGCTGCAGGGTCTGCCTGGCTCTCACAGCTCTGCTCTCTGCAGTCTGCCCTGCTCGCTGAGCTCTTCCTGGAGGAAGGGGATGGCCGCAGGTCCAGCGGGCCCAGGGTGGCTGGTCGCCTCAGCCGCAGATCGCTGCCCAGTGGCCAAAAGAGCAAGAAGTCCATCTCGAGCCAGGTATGGGGGGTGTGTGTGTGTGTGGGGGGGAGATGTGTGCTGGCCCTGAACAAGTGGGGTCCAGGTAGCCCCAATGGGGCTGATGTGTGTCCTGGCCTGGGGACTTCCACAAGCCCCAGGATGTGCTTTCTGGCCCTGACCACGCTTGCCTTGTCCTCTGCAGTTCAAAGCCTCCCTGAAGCGGCTGATGGAGGTGCTGAGCAGCACCACACCGCACTACATCCGCTGCATCAAACCCAACGATGACAAGCAGCCCTTTGTGTGAGTGCCTGGCCAGGGAGGCTGGAGGGGCTGGGGACACTGTGGGGCACTACTGTCCCTCTTGCCCTGGCCCCGCATAGCTTGGGGTGTGCTGGTCTGGCTGGGACCCACCCTAGATCAGCCCCTCTTTGCCCCAGGTTTGACTCCAGGCGAGCAGTGGAGCAGCTACGAGCATGCGGGGTCCTGGAGACCATCCGAATCAGTGCTTCAGGCTACCCCTCCAGGTAACCCCCTGTTTCAGCAGCACCCTGGGTGCTCCCCCCCGCCTTCTCCAGCCACAGCACCTCTGATGGGATGGGCTCTGTCCCCCACAGGTGGACATACCAGGAGTTCTTAGAGAGGTACAGGGCTCTGGTGAGCAGAGAGGAGCTGATGGTCACCGATGAGAAGCAGATCTGCAGCCTGGCCCTTGAGAGACTGCTCCAAGTAAGGGTCCTGCTGGGGCTGGGGGTGCAGCTGCGGTACCAGAGTATCCCTCGCAGAGGCTTCTCCCTCTGTGTGGGTGCCCAGTGGGGTACAGAAATGGGTGAGCTGGGGAGGAAGTCGGCCTCTAGGGAGGCTGGATGGGGAGATTGGTGGCATGAGGAGCATCGCTCTTGGGGGAAGCCTGGCTGGGGTGTGCCTTGTCCTTGGGACTGACTCCACCCTTGCACGCAGGACTCCAGCAACTACAAGTGTGGGAAGAGCAAGGTGTTTTTCCGGGCTGGCCAAGTGGCTCACCTGGAGGAGCTGCGGTACCAGCGGCT